GGGGGAGGTCGGATTTACTAGATAGTTCATCGTTAACGACAGCTTTAGACGTCATCTATTCGTTCTTGTACTAAACCCAACTTCCGTACTACTGCGGCTCTCTTGTTCGCAGCTTCCAAGAGCCTTTTATGGTTAAGTAAGTTCTGAAGAATTCTTTCTGTGAGTGGGGTGCAATAATTCGTGACCTCAAATTGCCAGTTTCACGTTTTAATGGTAAGAGCAGAGAGTTGCGCCTTGGAGTGCCAGTAAACTGCCCTTTACATTTCCACCCATGTCTCCCATGCAAAAGAGGCTTGCCATGAATCATAATGAAGTCGCAACGAAATTTCAGCTTCAAAAGTAGAGCTGTATAGTTGAGTAAATATTTACATTTTAGTGGTATTTACAATTTTATTTTCGTTTATGTCATATCGTAACCGCATTATCGAGCAGATAGGTGCTTAAATTCACAATATTTGAGTTGTTCAATTTCTTCAACTCAACCAAGCACCTGCGAGATCTTTTCATGGCGTGCAACCGTGCAACATAAAGCACAATAAAAGTTTACTCGAACAGTTCTCAATTGAGCAATTACTGATTCCTTCAGCTAGATAATTTTCTCTTGGTTAAGGTTTCCGACCACGCTCGGTATCTCGCTGTGGTATCAACTCACGATACCGAGAAACTTACACTTTTGATTGGAATGGATTATTACAAAGGACAAATGACGTGAGTCTTCTGATTTCGCCGATTGATTAACCTTCGCTTTGCATACTCTGCTTTAGGATAGGCGTAGTTTTACCGCTGTTATGGTGCAGTCGTGTTGAGTTGGCAGGGGATGGTGGAGTGGCAGTGTACGGATCGGGAGCATCCAGTAAAGCGGACAATGCCCTCCTGTTCCGACCTGTTTCCGTTCAAGCCATGTGGTAGGTCTTCTACCTTTTTTCCATCTCATTCTTGATTCTTCCCTTCAACATAACTATTTAAAAAATAGTCAGAGGGAGATGACTGCTCCGAAATGGTTTCGGCCAAATTCAGCAGCAAAAATCGCAACATGTAACCTTTAGAGAACTACTTGAGTAATTTAAAAGCAAGTTCAAGCCTTCCCTTATTAGACTTCTAATGAGGCGCAGCCAATGTCCTGCGAGTTTTTCAGAAATGATCCCAACATCAAGCTTGGATTGATAAATAGCAATAAGAAACCCTACGGATAACAGCTATGTACAAAATCCGCTTAAGATTTGATGATGATCTTAACCAAAGCCATTGTTGTCTTCATCATATTCTGTTTTCAGTAATGCGTGAGCTACCCAGTTGAGGAACGAGAACAGAGAAGCCATTTTGAATTGAAATAGACGTAGGAGAGGAGAGGTGCCTAGGAAGTTCCGCGCGATGGCTGACATGATGGAATGCAAGAATGTTTCCCACTTTTAATCGATTTAGAAAACGCTCCAAGTTCTCCAAGTTACGGTTTTACTTCAGTGGAAGCACAGTCGCTCAGGGGCTGCTTCCAGATTTCAACGGTGTGCCCTCCGTGCGTGCGTCCGATCGGCGGCAGCGCTAGCCACTTTTCGACAGCACCGGCGCGTGATCCATCCCCGCCCAGTGTTGTCAACACGTAACCAGCAACACCGCCGGTCGGTCGCATGCAGGAAAGCACACGGGTGTTCTCTGAAAGCAGCCAGGGATCGCCTCATCACTACGAGCAGGGCCTGTGATAGGATCACGGTTGTGACGGAGGAGGGGTAGTGGAAGTAATATCTCTGTGCGAGCTCCTATATAGTTGCTCTAACATAAAAGATAAATTCTGTCTGAACATTCTCAATGCCGTCAATTCCAAGAGGGGCCAAGAGGTATTTCAGTACTATCTAGAAAGTATTTTATCTGGCAATCTTAAACTAGTAAGGTACAACACATTTCTCCTAATGAGGAAAACTAATGTGAAAAGGAACCTGCGCAACGGAAGAAGAGGAGCGGAACTGCTTTCATGAGGAAATCGTCTTTCGGGAATGCAGAAGACATCATGTTATTAACGGCGTTTCTTTTAAGGTGGTTGTTTGTATGTCTATCTGTAATCTTACCGAGTAAGTCTCTTCGACCAAAGGAGCAGGCATAGCCAAAGTTTATTCTCGGAAAACAGATGAGAACGGTGAGCGCACAGTTTGTTGAAGGAAGCTGCAGCCCCCGGAGAAGATTGACGTCAATCGAGGGATGCTGTAACCTGGTTTCTCGTACTTCCGGCAGTCCCGTGTATAAGAGAAAAGCTGGATCAGACCCAAAGTCGATCCAGAGTTTGCCATTCATTGTGGTTCTGCGATGCTAAGACCTTGTAGTCATGAAACAGGAAAGGGACGCACTCAAACATCGGAATAATGGAGTCCGTAGAATAAAGCAAAGCAAAAAATAAGGAACTAGATTACTGTAAGGGAGCTCGATAGTATGGAGTGAGATGAATTCATGCCAGCGGTTAATGAATTCGAAACTCAAGCAACTCGTTCCGATTTTACAGGAGCCGTTAGAGCTGATGTCCAACAGATCTGCAGTGGATACCATTTCCACAACTAGGCAAGTGATGAAGTAGTATCGAGTAAAGCATAGACCTTACCACCTAGCTTTCTTTCAACCTTGGAGAAGGTGTTCGCTCAACTGCTAAAACTTCGGGAAGCGCTTCGGAACGTAAGGACGGTTGAGGAAGCGCTAAGAAACATGATTAGTAAGAGTTTGCCGAAAATCTGTCTGATGTCGCTAATCCTCCTGACAATTGATGTCAACATTCTTGTGTGGCGGAAGCCATTCTGTACGGTCATCAGGCCAGCTGCAGAAATCTCAGAATCTTTTCTAAAGAATGGACACTGGATGATAATTAAGAAGACCGAATTCTACGTCCTAAGGAATGCGCATAGACGATCTGAGACGTTTTAAGGAAAAGGTGATGGGATGTGATTAAGAAGACAAACCGGTATCACGCAGAGGATTAAATCTAGCGAAAAGTGAAATGCTCAGTACTTTTGGCAGGCGGTGTGTGGAATTTTCCTTTTAAATCCTTAATAACCTTCTTCGATGATAAAAAAATGAAAAATCCGTAATAATTTGTGATGAGCTTCAGGGTTGGAAAAAACAGTGGATGGACACCCGTGAAGGGAGAAATGTCGAAAACTAGTAGGCCAAACAGAACGAAGGAGAACTACTCATTTACCCATAGTGGGCAGAGCGCCCAGGCTTAGTTGTAGTTTTAGGGAAAACTTAGCTTACTTATGTTAGTTTTTTTAATGTTCCACATATCGTACATTGATATCTTACATTTTTCGAAAACTCTCCTATTCAAATGATTTCTATAACTTTTTTCCTGCGACCTCTGTGCAACCTCTCAGGAGACTAGAAATAAAGCTTCGTGGTGAATGGGATGAATATTTGTAAACTGCTGAACTGCAGGTTTGTCTTTCAATCGCTGCATAAGGAGCTTGAAGGCACTCAACGTGAAACTCGGAGGCTCCGTGAACCAGCCTTGGCAACTGAGCATTACATGGATCGCATAACGTCTCCAGATTTCCTATGCGCTCAGTGGTGAGTAGACATCTCTCTCCTTGCGCTTGAAATTCCTCTTCAATTCCTCTTGAATAGATCGCATTCTTAAGGCAGCAGTCTTCAATGGAGATGGATGACGAAGACGAGTTAAAAGCCGATACCGTTCGAGATCATTTATCTGAAGAAGGCAAAGCAAAGGTTCTTATCTAATCGATTTTGTTCGTCATCTTAAAGTTCAGCGTTTCATGCAAAGAATAATGTACTGAGAGGAAGTAGTGCAGCTACTGTCATTCATCTGAACGTTTCAAAAAAGCACATACCATGTTTGGTTGAAATAAATGATTACCGATCCACCTGATGATCGTAGGAGAGTTTGTATGGGGTGACCTGGGTCTTGCCGCAAGATTCAAGTATACATATCTTCAAAGATACGTGAATTGAGATTTGAAATCCATATGTTCTTCAGTGATAACATTTGCGATCGTAGCCATTGCAGGAGGCTCTGCTGCGACGAGAACTGCGACAAATCATGCAAAGCGTAGATCTGGACAGCGTTACAAGTCGTGACATTCGAGAAGCCCTTGCACAACGGATAGGCTGCGTAGACGGACATAAGGTACTGGCAAACATTCCCATTTCAATCTGTTGAAGTTTCAGTCGCATGAGGTCCCCCCCCCCCCCTTTACCTTTTTTTTATTTTAGGACTTTATTGACCGTGAAATGTTAGTGATATTGGGTCAGATGGATAAGCCAAGTCGTATCTTCCCATACTTGTTACTTGGAACAGAATGGAATGCTTCGAACTGGGAAGAGCTGAACCAAAATAAGTACGTTTCTACGCTTTACACTACATTTCTTTGATTACTGATTGCTTTTACAATCAGATACGATCACAGTCCGTTTCATGTTTCACACTTCCTTTTTATTTAGTGTGGGATACATTCTGAATATGACGCGAGAAGTGGATAATTTCTTCCCGATGCATTTCAAATATGTGAAGATCTCAGTATCCGATGAAGCAAGTACCAACCTCCTCAACAACTGGAACCTCACCTATAGCTTTATTAAGGAGGCAAAGTAGGCGACTTCAACACCTAATACTTCGATTCAATTTGACTCAGTTCACGATTGTTTCAGAGAATCGGGTAAAGTGTGCTTGGTGCATTGCAAAAAAGGAATCAGTCGCAGTTCATCTACGGTAATAGCGTACGCAATGAAAGAATATGGCTGGAGCTTAGAGCATGCTCTTGCTTATGTGAAAAAGAGAAGGAATTGCATAACCCCTAACAAGGTTCGTAGTCACTTTTATCGCGTTCCTCTTAGTGTGTGGTATTGGAAAATTGAAGAAAGTGATCTTTTAATAGGGTTTCATGGAGCAGTTACAAACATTTGCGGGTGTACTTGAAGCGTCACGACATCGCCATGCTCCTCAATTTAACGGGCGTGGTGGAACTCCTACCACTACTGCTGGATCACGGGCACACTCGGCCTCATGCATTCGAAGTCCTCGTCGTGTCTCTTCTGCTACTGACTCTGTACGTTTCATTATACGCGAGTTTGAGCTACGGCGTCGTGGCGCCGAAGATCCAGTCCGCCATTCCTTTCCACTTGATGTGATAAGTAAGCGTAGTTCTATTCAACAAATTAGCTAGTTTTATCGACTAGTTACTATGTGATTACTACCTTCTGTACAGATGTATATTCTTGTGTTATTGATCGTCACTATTTCATACGTATGAAAATAAATGAGTTCATATGTGTAGCTCACTAACTGAAAATAATTTCATCGAAAATAAATGAGTTCATATGTGTAGCTCACTAACTGAAAATAATTTCATCGCTGAGTAGATAATACTGCTGCTAGTTAACGGATGAACTGTGAGGTTCGCACACCTAAACTTACTCATATCTTCTTCTTACTTAGTTTATGTGGCCCACCCTTGATAGAGCGGAGGTGGCGTAGTGGTAAGTGGCTTACTATCTCACACGCACGGGGTTCGAATCCCGGATCGATATCCGCTCAGGCCAACCAAGCCTTTCGTCCCTCCCGGGTCGGCTAATTCGTATAAGACCCGTCTGGGAGGATAAAAGCACTGGCTTGTACATCGGCTGGCCACCGCAAGCCATTCTATAGACCA